CGAGCCCCGCACAGCAGCGGCTGCTCAGCCAGCACGGTCCCAGCACCTGCCCGGGCTTTGCCAACAGCTCGTTGAAAACCCAGCACAGGATGTCACGGTGCGCCAGGGCGTTCGGGGCTGCACACACAGACACACAGACACACAGACACACAGACACACAGACACCCAACCCGCTTCTGCTGGTGGCACGAGCAAGAGAACAAACAGCCCGTGTTTTGGAGCAGGAACACGTCACCAGTCTCTCTCCTGGTGGGACTGGAGCAAGTGAAGAGGAGCCCCTGTCAGGACAGCGAGTCACTGCAGGTTTGTGCTGCTGGCACTGAGAGCCAAGCAGAGGCTGAAAAGCTTTCATCACAGCGGCAGAACGAAACCCCGCCTGCACTCTGCACCTTCCCAAGCCCCTGTGGCCTCTATTTTAGCCACGTTTCATCCTGCAACCTGCCATCAGCTGACCCCAGGCTCTGCCTAACTCGTGACACCAGTGGGGACTGCTCAGTGAGAGCTGCTCAGCAGCAGCTGTGCTCCCTCCTGCAGCCAGCACTTCACAAACGGGAGCAGAACCACAAGCACTTCCTTTGAACTTGGTTTTCTCCAAATTCCAGAACTTAACGGACGTTTGTTCCCCAGCCCCTGACGTGCAAGTGGGCCTTAGGTGCTTAAACCTGAGGGCTGTGATCCAGCAAACCCCACAGTTAACTAGTTACCTGTTTCACAGCAGAATGACCTACAGCAGCAGGTCTGCTTCTTTTGCAGTTGCTTGCTTCTGAAAAGCTTGGGAGTGGAGGGGAACAGGGAGGGGCAAATTCAACTGGTACTTTACCTCCTTAGGCTCATGTCCACCCTGGGAGAAAGGGGAGAGCAGGGATGTGCCAACTGCCCTTGTGCCTGTGTCACCCAGCCAGGGGGACCCTGCTGAGCCTGCTGTGTTCCACTTCCAGTCCTGTGCTGGGAGCTTATGTGGGACTAGTCAGAGGTGCACCAGCCCTCACCTTGGCATGGAGTATTCAGGTAGCCTTGAGGGTCTTATCAAGACCCCTTACAGATAGCTGATGATGCTTAGGGGTGCACAAGCCACAAGCTAAAATCACTGATCAAGCCACTCCTCAGACCTCTCAATGACTTTCCTTGTCCCTGAGCTCTTGTGTGATTGAGAACAGTGAAAATGTAAGAGGGAAGAGGTGAATTCTTAATGGAAGTATTGCAAGAAACCTGTGAACACAGTCCTTTCTCTCTGTCTCACATACATCCATGCACCAACTTGCAAAGCAAAAGCTGAAGCCAAGGGGAAGCTGGTTCTTGCTGCTCTGTTACAGCCACCCAACAAATGTGACAAGCAGTGCCACAGTGAGCAACCAGCCATGCATGGACCCCAGCTCCATGGGGTGCTGGCTAACAGCAGCTGAACATGAGCCAGCATGTGCCCAGCTGGCCAAGAAGGCAAATGACATCCTGGCCTGTACCAGGAACAGTGTGGCCAGCAGGAGCAGGGAGGTGATTGTGCCCCTGTGTGAGCACTGGGGGCAGTTCTGGGCACTGCCGGATAGAAGGACATGGAGGTGCTGGAGAGGGTGCAGAGAAGGGTAATGAGGCTGGTGAGGGGTCTGGAGAGCAGGTGTGATGAGGAGGGGCTGAGGGAGCTGGGGCTGTTCAGCCTGGAGAAGAGGGGGCTGAGGGGAGACCTCATTGCCCTCTGCACCTGCCTGAGAGGAGGGTGCAGGGAGGTGGGAGTTGGGCTCTGCTCCCTGGTGACCAGTGACAGGAGAAGAGGAAATGGAGTCAAGCTGTGCCAGGGGAGGTTCAGATTGGATATTAGGAAAAATTTCTTCCCAGAAAGAGTGGAGAAGGGGGGTGGTGGAGGCACCGTCCCTGGAGGTGTTCAAAAAACAGGTGGATGTGGAGCTTTGGGAGATGGTTTAGTGGTTAGGTGGTGTAGGGTGGATGGTTGGACTTGATGATCTTGAAGGTCTTTTCCAACCTTGATGATTCTATGAACTCCTTCACACACCTAGGGTATGTCACTCACATCCCAGCACAGAGAGCTGGCAACAATAACTGCAGGGGCTGGTCATTTTATTCATGTGACAGTCCCAGAAAAAGGGTAATATCATCAGTCTACCTCTGAGTCACACTGCTGATCTCTGTAGGTCAGTGTCACCTCCGTGTGCTCCTGAGGGTACCACATAGTGTGGGTGTAATACGAGATGTCCCTTGACTTTTTTTTCCAGGCACATATGAGTTTACTGAGATTTGCAAGCTTCTAGGGACAAGAGGAAGACCTTGGATATATAGAAAAACTTGGGTGTTGTGGGTTCAGCAATAAAGCCTTCCCCACCTGGGACTTCCATGCCTGCTGACATGAATGGTTTAGTTTGATTTTAGCACAATAACTGCTAAGATGCCAATGGCAGTTACATGGAAAAATGCAGATGGGATTGCTGATGGCCAGTTCTTGAAAACTAAACTGAGATCTGGGAAAGCTGGGTTAAAAATGTTGTAAGGCTGCATCAGTGCAGGGGACCAGGTTCTTTAGGCTTAAATCCTCAGGTTTACCCTTCTCTGCCACCTACTCCCTTTGATCAATGATTCATTCCAGTGACCTCTTGGCTCTTATCCAGGTAACAGTAAGAAATCAATGTATGGTCCAGTATGACCAACACAGAAAGCACCACCTTTGCTTCTAAAAAGGCTCTTCTCTCTCTCCTGTAATTTTACAGAAAGAAACACCTACAAAATAGGCACATGGGACTAGTACATACATTGTTCAGTTTGGAAGGTGAAATCAGCTCCTCCAAAATGATAATTCTGAGCACATTCTTGAAAGGTTGGGAAGAAACTATTTTTGAAATGCCAGATCAGTCCTTATAAAGACTTTACTTAGTGCAGCTGCTAAAATCCTTGTGCTTTATTCTCCCTCGTCTTGCACCTTTTCAGAATTCTTTACACCTTTCAGTGTGCCTGTCAAATGTTAGCAATCTGGGAGCATTTTAAATCCACTTTGACAAATGTAAATGATCAAAAGAAAGGTCAGGGAAAATCATAATGAGTTAAAACCTTGGGTTTGTAGCTGGGAAGAGCAAGACAGGCTTACTTGACAGATGCTTTTTTATCAGACAAATCACAAAGCAGCAAACATGAATAATTTTCAGCAAATAATTTATTTCACTGGTTTAGTTCGTTTTTCATCCATGAAAAGGGAGTTTTTCTAATCTAAAAATTTCAATAGATAATTCTTGCCCGGTCATTAATTTATGAGCAGTTTGCTGCAATTACTAAGGCTTATAAATTCAATTTGTGTTGATTTATCTGGACCAGGCAAAGAGGTCGGTCCGTGCCCTGTGTCTGCTGGAGCCAGTGAGTGCTCACAAGTGAATTCCTACAGACTAAGGAACAGGGAGAGAGGTTCTTTCTGTGCCAGTGCTTTGGCTGGAGGATGTGGCTCTGAGCTGCCAGCTGTGCTGGGCTCGGGCTGTGGCTCCTCAGGGAGGACAAGGAGGCTCAGCTGGGCCTCCAACCCTGCAGCCCCAGGGAAGGGCTGCCCTGGTTGCAGGGCTCCCCCAGCCCAGAGCAGCCCCAGCAGGGCTGCCAGGGGACCCCAGGGAGGCTCAGACCCCCCAGGCATGGATCCAGCCCACTCTGAGCAGCTGACATGGACGTTTCCCACCCACGGCACAGCCAGCAGGGACCGTCCCTACTGGGCAGTTTGTGTGCAGCCCATGCTGGAGACTGGAAGGGCTTCACAGACCAGCTGGAGACCAGTTGCCCCGTGGCCTCAGCACCCAGAACCATCCTTGGGCACATGTGAAACAGGTCTAGTCTGTCCTGAGGTGTGCTGAGTCATCTGCTGCCCCTGGGCACTCACTGTTTGGGAACTCCTATGTTGGACACTGTTTGTGGCCCTCAGAGGCTGTAGAACTCATTGCAGGCTTGGAGGGATTGTGGTTACAACCCCCTCACACACAGTATCACAGTATCATTCTGGTTGGAAAAGACCTTCAAGATCATCAAGACTACCCTACACTACCC